TTTTATTCTATATCGAAAGGCCTAAATAAATTTTTCAAAAACACAAATTTCGTTCTAGCAATAGAAACTTTAAAATTTAAAAGCTCTCTAAATACCTTATTACCCATATATCATTTAAAATGGTATTTGGAAAAGTTGTTTTTTTTTTAACTATGGAATGGCTTAAATAAATTTTTGAAAAAAACAAATTTTGGTTCAGCAATAAACAGTTTGAAATTTTAAAGCTCTCTAAATCCTTTATTACCCATATAGCATTTAAAAAAGTTGTTTTTTTTTATCTATCGAATGGCTTAAATAAATTTAAAAAAAAAACCTTTCGTTCTAGCAATAAAAAATTAAATTCGCTTTGACGCACCCCAATTTATTGCTGGCTGGCTACTTGCTAAATGACGCAGGTCAGATCGGACAGACATGGTTCTCTAAGAGTTGGAGGTGTACTAATAATATTATTCATTTCATCACTTGACATAACTTATAATGCTCTTGGTATATCAGAGGAAAATAAGAGATTTGAAAGCTCTTTTAAGCAATCTTATAAATTTAGGAAAGCAAATTTCCCAGAGATGTATTACTTGTTATCAAAAGTTGGCTGGCAATTTTTAGAAGTGTTTCAGGACCCCAATGACGCTTGCTCCTATTTCTATGGAAAATTATGCAATATATTTAACTCGTGCATACCAAAATTTTCCATACCCTCTCAAACGAAATATCCGCCATGGTTTTATGGTAATATCATTCAAAATATTCATAAAAAAGAAAAACAGCGAATAAATAATTCTGATAATGATATTTTAGCTTTTGACGAATTTAAAAGATTAAGGGCAATCATAAAAAGTCATATTAGTGTGGCCTATAAACAATTTATTAAAAAATCTGAAGATCAAATATCCAATCCCGACAAATTTTGGGCTTTATCAAATAAAACACACTCGACTCGTTTTCCCACTGATTCTTCTGAGCCAAATTCTGAGGTTAATCTATGAAATGTATAAAATTTAAACATAAATTCCTTTATCGAAGATGAAGTTAAAAATACGTTAAAATCAATGAAATCTAAAATGACTATAGGGCCAAATAATATTCCATCATTTGTTTTGAAAGACTGCGCTTGTATTCTCATCCCTTAAATATTTGTCTCAAATTTTGTTCTATCCCACCTCTCTGGAAATGCTCTAAGGTCTCCTCGGTATTTAAAAAGGGTGATAAATCGGACATTGCACAATATCGTCCAATTTCAATAATCTCTGTAAAGTGTACTTCAAAATAAGATTTTCATTATTTCAATAATACGATATCAACAGAACAACATGGATTCATGAGAGGCCGTTCCACCGTTACCAATATCTTATAGCGGTAACACAGTACACTGCAGAAAATATCGACAAGAGAATCCAGACTGATGTAATATACACCGACTTTTCCAAAGAGTTCAATCGGCTTGATCATGGTATCATGTTAAATAAACTTTCATGATGTGGTTTTTCCCAATCACTGCTAAATTACTTTTCCGACAGAAAGCAATATATTCAGATTAACGGTTTCAAGTCGACTCAATATCTGGCAACTTCCGGTGTTTCGCAAGGTTCTAATCTAGGTCCTTTGTTATTTAATATATTTCTTCTATACGCCGATGATAAAGTTGTTCTGTCGTGTCGAAACGGTTGAGAACTGAAAGGTTTTCAGATAATCTGAGACGTGTTGAGGAGTGGTGTCTTAATAACAATCTTCCTTTTAACCACTCTAAATGTTTTGTAATGTCTTATACCGTGAATCAATTCCCTTTAACTTTTAATTATAGCTTTAACAACACGATTCTTCAAAGACCGGTTACCATCACAGATCTTGGAATAAAATTTGATCCCACTTTATCAATGAACAACCATATATAATCAATTGTATTAGCAGCGTACAAAATGTATGGATTTATCGTTCGTGTAACAGTCGTGAATTATTAACAGAGAACATTTCATAAACTGTTTCCCTAATCGGTTCTAAAAGAAACTGTGGAATGAAACGAGATGAACCAGAATCTTTTCGCACCTTTCTAGGTGGTGTCCATTCCTGTAAAATTTTGTATACATTTGATTGTGGTACTTTTGTCAAAAAAACAGTCTCTTTTAGGGCTTCGGAGGAAGGTAAATTCCACACCAATACTACCCAGGGCCGGATGCTCCCGTGTTCAGTTTTCGTCTGCCACGCGCATGACGTCACTCATAGCCTGACTCTCATTAGGGAGAGGTATCTTTACGCATCACTTTTGCTGTAAAATTGGTCTCTGGGACTTTTGGCACGAATCTTGCGGGAAAGGTTTTTTATATTAAGTTTATCTTTCCTCTTGCTAAGATGAAACCACTTTTTGCTAAGGTTAGGGTCTTTAGGAAAACTGAAAAACCTAACGTCTTTGTACGCATTCCGTTTAGATTCGTTGTTGGAATCACATCCCACAATAACACCGCATTTTAATATATAACTTCTATAACCAAATATGCACGATATACCCAACCCTACAATTGATTAAAAGCACTACCCAGACAGCACACCAAATCCTTTGGATATCTACTGAACATCCCAATATCCACTGAATGTCCAGTCTATGGTGGATATCTATTTTATATCCATAAAATGTAATTTATAGACATGCAAATGTCCATAAATAATAGTAATTATATAGCAAATTATTAAAAAATTACGCCATTGTGCTCGCCATTGTGGCTAATAGTACCGTTCAGATATTTAAAATTAATTTTTTTAAGGTGTATTCAATATCCCATGGACATCCACATAATATGTGGATGATATATTATATCAAAGTCTTAGCGCGGACGCAAACCATCGTGGATATCTACTAGATGTAATTTTTGATTTTGCTTCCTAAGTATAGATGGCGATACCACTTTCGTATCTACTCATGCTCAACCCGCCATAATTGAGTTGATCGAAAAAAATTTCGCATTAAGACTCTATTAGAGACTGGAGTCGAGAATTTCCATTTATTGCTGAAGAGCCCTAATAAGGATGACTTTTTCCTTCCTTAGTGGGCAAACTCAAAGGCAGATTGTTGGAAATATTTTTTATCTCTATTTTCTTTCGACGTTATTCAATAATCATTTGGTTACTTATGAATGTGTACTAAAGATACATATAAAATATTTTGCTGAATATCTGAATTCTATATCCTGGGATATAGACGGACATTTGGTTGGATATCCATATTTGGATATCCACAAAATATATTCTGTGGATATCTCTGGCTCTGGGATTTCTTGTATTGTCTGGAAGATACTAATTAGATATTTTGCTTAATATCCATAGGATATCTTCTATATTCTGGATATAGACGGACATTTGGATATCCATATTAGATCCACGGAATATTTCTGATATCCTGTGGATATATTGGATATCCACAAAAGATATTCTGTGGATATCTTTGGGATTTGGTGTGTTGTCTGGGTACGTAAGCACAGTCACTAAATGAGTGACGTTGCTTAAGGACCACCCACTGTGCGCGACATCTTACCTTTAGTTGGGTATATCGTGAATACTACCTGTTTCCTTAATCCGCTAGTTAAAATGCACACCCTTAAATAGAATGTTTTAATCCTTACTTTACACTTTTATTAGGTTCTTTCACTTTTATTACAATGTTATTGAGACAATCTGTTTTTCCGAATACGAAACTAGAAATCGACTTGTATCAGCGTTTTTTTGAAAAATTATTAATACAATTGTTTATCAAACCTTTAGTATTATTGTGAGATTTCAAATACTAAATTTCAATTCATCAATTATTTTTTCCTATACCAACATAGTCATTAACCTTTTTCATTGCACAATATAATGTGACAAACATTCTTACGAAATATTAATATTATCATGTTTGTTCCCAAACAGAAAACATACATTTTTAAAGTCCATTTGGGAGCACCGTCCCTGTTCCGGCTAATACACAACCTTCCTCCATGTGTAAAACGAGACGATTTTCTACTATAAATTGCCATAGACTATATCTGCTTGCCCAAGTGATTCCGTTGAAACCTTTGAAACCATATGATATAAGTAGCACGATTATTACCGATAATTATTTGAAAGTCACGAATGTTGGTCACTATTCCAAAGATTAGGACAGTCGATATTTAAGTGTACCACGAAATTATTATTAGAACTAATTTGGACGCGAATATAATAAAATATTCCAATTCGATATAAAATAAATTATTTTTTTTATCACATGAATATCTAACTCTTTTGTTAGTTTATTGGTCTGAATGTCTGCTGTCAAAATGTCGAAGTTTATAATTGGCTGGATGATCAGAGTATGGCAACTCTTCATTTATTTTCTCCACCCGCTTTCTCATCGCTTGGCTTTCTCGTTCTTTCTGAAGTACTACTTATTTGAGAAAGTGAAAAGTGAATTCCCTGGGAAGTTTCAATTTCTCTCGTTTTTAAGCATACGCATCCTGGTCATATGGAAGACTCCTAGTAAATATTTTTTTAATTTTCTTTATTCAAATAGGTATACTACAGATTTCTTATTCTACACAATAAAATATAAAAACCTAAAAGCTAACCTATGGCTAAAAACCACATAATAATTATTTAAAATAATTTAAATGGTTCTTTAGTGCACCTACAATGTTGCATTACATGAGTCATACTCGGAGTAAATGCCCTTTGGCATATCGTTAGATATATGTCTTCTAATAAAAAACAAATATGTATATGTTCATTATGTAGGTGCTAAAAAGCTTCTTGCTTAAAAAGGGATATTAAACAATTTGTAACCATCTCTATGAATCACCCTATCGTATGTGCATTTACCAAAGAATCACCATGTTTAGGTGTCTCAGTAAGCTTATTGCATAAGGTTCCAAGACTGTCTTATTCTTATTATCGTTCAAATGAAAAGTCTAATGGTGTTTGTTATTGGATATTGTAGCACTTTTTTTTTTAAATAAGTAAAAGTAATCAGTTTGGTATTTATTGTTTTTTTTTTGTAGGTTCATTCTGTTGTTGATAATATAATAAATTTAGAACTGTTCAAGCAAGATCCACATGTTAGGATGAATGTAAAATCCATAAACAGAATGATGATAGAGCAAGGATATGCTGATCCAGCAGCAGAGAGCTTTTTATCAAAGGTTAGTGTTAAATGGTCAAAATATCAGAATTTTGGAAAACAAAAAATAATTATTTGTCGACTTTATATTATAAAATAAAAAATAATTTATGCACAATCTAGGCTGATCACGAGAAGAGATGCCAAGTGTATAAATCCGAAAATCCTACAATGGAAGCGATAAGATTAAGTTTCGATAAAGTTGAAAATTATGAAGATTTTGAAGCTCCTCGAATATCAAAGGATTACAATATAATCTATTTGAAAGGTCCTTTTAGTCCATTAGAAATGAGAATGTATGGATGCATTGAAAGTGCTGGAAACAAACTTATTGACGTAGAGGGATCTTCAGTTAATACAGTATTATTAAATAGTGAACCACAAAACTACCACACCAGGTAATAATTCTATTTAAATTATTTCACCAGTTATTTATTTTAAAGCTTGGATACCAATGTTGGTTGGTTCAATTAATATATTGTTTATTATTTCTTCATTTCTGACCTGAGCCCACGTTGTATCCACTAATTCCCTAAAAAAATTCATTTTTGCTCCCTTCAGTTTATTCTTGTGGTGTTGTAGGATCAATGTCTGACTTTCATGTAGGAGAGCTGGTACCATGATTTTATTATACAAGGTGTTTTAAAAAAACATGGCATACATAATATGACTGGGAAAGCTCTGAAAAATAAATAGGGTTTACCTAAAAAACATGTTTTAAAAATCCTTCATTTTTGTGATACAGGGCGTTAAAGTTAAAAACAAAAAAAGATGATTTCCAATAATTTTTAAATTAGGGAGGGGTCTTTCATTCTTTGCAATGGTACGTTTTATGCGGTATCACTTTATCACATTATTGGTAAAAAATTAGCAGCACTAAATTAAAATTCAGAACTATAAATAAATTTGATTACAATAAATTTTCAAATTTGATATCAACTGTTGATTGTAACAAAGTTATTTCCGTTGGAAACCCAATAGATGCACTTGATACAGTTTTTTAATATCTCATTTAATTAATACGGGGGCCACTATTTATATTGTGAGCCTTGGCAACTACCTGTTGTAAGGTGTTAGCTGATATTTCCATTGAAAAGGTTGATATTTTTGTCCCTAACCTTATGAATGTTTTGTCATAATATGAGCGATATTTGAATTGAATTTGAATTGTGTGTCGGCACAAAGTGGAATTAACTTTTGAAAATTTTCGTGCGATGATTTGTTATGATTTTCGATGTAGATTATCGAGACAAGAGTGCATCGACAAATTTACTTCTACTTTTGACGAAGAAGCCCCATGATTTGCCACCGTGAAACGCTGGTATAACGAGTTTAAACGCGGACGTCCTTTGCTCAAAGGCGAATTTCGTGAAGGTCGTCCAGAGTCAATTTTTGTGCCAGAAAATATTGATTCTGTGCAAAAACTGATATTGCAAGATCGTCGTGTGACATACTCTGAGATTGAAGTAACCTTAGGCATAAGTTCCACGCATGCATAAAATATTGCATGATCATTTAGCCGTGAAAAAGATTTGTTCTCGTTGGATCCTTCATAGTTTGCCGAATGCTCAAAAAGATGCTCTTGCCTAATGGTGTAACCAGATGCTTAACAATTTGTTTGCCAGAAATATTCGGAGAAATAAGGAAAACAAATCGCCAAAGACATCGCGACAATGCTAGCCCAAACACATCAGTTCCAACAAGGGACTTTTTGAGCACTGAAATCATTTAGTCAATGGGTCATCCGCCATACAGTCCTGATTTGGCACCCAACGACTTTTTCTTGTTTTTGCATATCAAAGATAAACTCAGTTGACAACGATTTTCATCGGCAGAAGAAGCCGTTGATGCATTCAATAATCATGTTTTGGAGATATCCCTAAAACAATTGAATAAATATTTTGACAAATGGTTTGAGCGAATTCAAAAATACATACATCATAATGGAGAATATTTTTAAAAACAATGAAGCCATTTTTAATGACAAATTATTGTTTTTTCTTTATTAGGCTCACAATATAAATAGTTACCCTCGTAAGTGTACAACGTCAAAAATTATAAAAACAAAAAAAAAAATAAAAATAAAGCTTAGATAAGGAAATGCATAATAAACTGAATTATTAAAGTCGGAGACAAAAAACAATAAGCTAAAAATAAAAACAATATGTACATTTTAAACAAATACAATACTTACAGAAATCAATAAAATAAAATAAACATAATATCAGTTTAAATAAAATATGCTAACATCTTTGAAAACACAAATAACACGAAGAAAATGTTTAAAGCATCTATAAACATTGAAAACAACCATTGAAACCAAAAAATTACTATAAAACTAATGAACATATAACTAATGAAACGCTTACTTCTAAAGAAATGGTTAACTTCTGCAATAAATATGTCGAAATTCGAAATAAACTAGCAAAAATATTGATAAACCACCCACGATTTTAAAGTGTTGAAATAAGGGCATCATCTTGTATGGAAAAATCGAGATTTTAACCGAGCCCGAGCTCATCGAATGTATGAAAATGTACTTCGTCTCTAGTCCGAAAAACTTATTGACTTGAATAGATAATTGCATTTTGGGGTCGGAAAATACTTCTGTTATGGAAAATCGAATTTTCCATGTGTTATCCTCAAGAGCCACTCGTAAATTTATTTTCATTCTACTTAACATCTATGTACTTTTCAACCCTCTTCGAGGCTTGTATGCGAAAATGGGACACCTAACTTTGTCACTATCTGACTGTCTACTACAGTGTCTACTGTGCTTCAAGAATTGATGAAATTGATTCCCAAATCTTTAAAGATTTTTACATCTATTTCACGCAAGCCCTTACCCATATAAAAAATTTAATATTTTTAACTGGCATAATCCCAGAACAGTTTAAAACTGCTGTAATCGTTTCAATATATAAAAATCAGGGAGATAATTATATTACTAATTACAGACTTTTAGTTTCATAAATACTATGGCTAAAATTCTTTAAAAGTGTAATAAAGTAAGACTATGTGAATTATTTAGTCGAAAATAATATTTTAAGTGATAGCAATTCGGATTTCTACCTGGCTTTGGTACTTATGACACAGCTTATACAATACAGCTAAAACACTCTCTTGGCGGCAACGGTTTGCGTCGATTTCGTCGCGCATCGCTTAAGCTCCGCCTTAAGCTCCGCCTTGTATAAGCTGTGCTTGTGACGCAATGGGTCCTATGATTGAACGTTTACGTTATCCGTAACGTACATGTTAGGCTCAGTTTTAACAGTAATTAGGCAAGTTCGTATGATGAAAAACGGTTTCCAACACATTACTGTTATTGTCCGCCTGTTATGTTCTAATTTAACAGGTTTCCATCATAAGAACTTGCCTCGTTACTTTTAAAATTTGGCCTAACATGTACGTTACGGATAACGTAAACGTTCAATCATAGCACCCATTGTTTGAACTTGTTAATCGTATCAAACTTTCTTCAGACAGGGGTCACAAATGTGTTATGGTGTCTTTGTGTCTGGCAAAAGCATTTGATACAGTACCCTATGAACTACTCTTAAATGTCCTTTAGCAATATGAAGAATTTAAAAATTATATATTAAACAGATAACAAATGGTCAGATTAAATAACGTCTTAAGTGAATAGGAAACAGTTCAAATGGGAGTACCTCATGGAATTTATAAAACATATTTTATGTCTTTCTCGCTAACAAATGTTAATAGTCTTTTTAACAGACTTCAAGAAAGGAGGAGGTTCTCAATTCGTCGCGATATTTTTTTTTATGTATGTTCAGCGATAATTCTTTAACGCAGTGTCCGATTTCAATGATTCTTTTTTTGTTAGAAAGGGGGTACTTCAGGGGTGGTCCCATATAAATTTGTTCAAAATCTAATAATTGAGTCCACGAGAAAATCCTCAAACTCTTCATTTTTTGTGTATATTTAGCGATAATGCTTTACCACCTTATCCGATTTATATGATTTTTTTTGTTAGTAAGGGGGTACCTCAGGGGTGGTCCCATATAAATTTGGTTAACATGTGGTAATGGCATCTGCACGTTTTTGAAGTCGGTTTTTTTAAATTTTTAATTTCTAATACTTGTGAACTTAAATTAAATGGAAATGTCAAAAAAATTAGTAGACGGGACTTTTCATGAAAAGTAATTTTTGGACTAGTCTGACAGACATATCCGGAAAAGTAATGAAAAGTCACAATGAAAAGTAGTCGACCTTGAGCATAGAAGACACACAGTTAAATCTCCATCCTGGATCTTTTTTAACACGCTTATATTAGCTTCACCTGCATGTATGTATGTATGTATGTATGTTTGTAACTCTCCTTTGGACTCAAGTGGCTTATTACTGTCAGTATATCCCGTTAAGTCAAGTTCGTTCGTGGCCGAGCGGTCTAACGCGCAGGTTTTGGATTGCCAGTCTCACCGATCGTGGGTTCTAATCCCCACGGCTGAAAAAAAAATAATTTTTTTTTTCAGCAATTTTTTTTAATAATTAATCGAACTAAAAAGTAAAAAATAAATATAGTTTAAAAAAACTAAAAAACACGCTTTTAGAGCATATCAAACTAAAAAGTTAAAATAATTTTTCAAATAAGCTTAAAACAATAATAAATGGAAAATACTAGTATTATTGTGAAAAAAGCGTGGGGCGTTTTGTCCATATTTCTCGTACATCGAGCGCCCGACGCTCTTTTCACAATAATACTAGTTTTTTCCATTTATTATTGTTTTAAGCTTATTTGAAAAATTATTTTTAACTTTTTAGTTTGATATGCTCTAAAAGCGTGTTTTTTAGTTTTTTTAAACTATATTTTCAAAAACACTTTGGGAACAATATTGGCATTTGCCTTTTCGTTTTTTTAGGTAATTCATTTGTAAAATACTTTCAACCTTTGGATTTTTTGGTAATTTTTTCACGAGTTTATTTCAGTAAGATATAAAACCAAAATTCGAAAACATCGTTAAAATATTATAAAAGTCAGTAGATATTTCTCGTTTTTCTTTTTTAAACTATATTTTGCCTTTATTTGTAAGAAATTCAGACGAATTAGTTAATTTAATTTCGCGCATGCGCGATACACTTTTCCACTTTTTAAAAGTGTGTTTGGACAAGTCAACTTTTCAGACTAGTCCATCGGACTTGTCCCCGGACTTTTCCAAGCGATCCATCACTAAAAATTAGTAATAAAGGCAAATAGTTGATTAAAATTTAAAATGGAATAAGCAGGTTCAATCATTGACAATAAAGGAGCGAAAGTTTATCTACAAATTTTACATGTTGACTAAATTTCTGACTCAAAAATTGATAATCACTGTCTACAAATTATTAGTGGAATCAATTATAAGATATGGTATCACGATATGGGGAGAGTTAGCACTATCCTCTTAAAGCAATTCAAAATCGTATTTTAAAATAATATAATATAAGAGAACACATCTATATCCTACTACACTTTTATATAATAATAAAGTGCTTAGCATAAGAATTACATATTTTTAAATGCAACAGCAAATAAATTTATGTCTTGAACGGGGAATGACCCCCATAGTACCGCTGTATTTTTTCACGAGTGGTATAAACAATGGTTGGACCGTTAATATCTAGTTATTTAAAAACGAAAACCAGAATATGTTATCTTACCTTCACACACTATTGAATATGTCTGGTCTAGGCTGAATTTCTTTTGAATGAGATCAGACGGCGCCGCGTAGAATAGAGGGATCGCCAACGCCATTCTGCTTTTTCTCTCTTATTGCTACATATGAATAGCCTTCTTTCTGTTGCTCTCTATAATTTGGCTCTATACCCAAGAAAAATGTAAGCCGAATCTGTATAAGATTCTCAATTTTTTATTATCTTTTATGTAAGTTAGTATTTTAATACTTATTTTTCCACACCTGTAATCCTTGCATTTATGTGCACTGAATTTATTTTGTATTTAATACTAACTTTTCAAAACTATCCTTTCCACTGATCTTGTATTTGTATTATATACTAGAATAATAGAAACTATAAATACTATCAAAATATTTGTAAAATAGGATGACCTATTTAATAAAAAAATATTATTAGTATTATTATAATGATTTTGTTTTAAGGAAGTAATGCAGTTAAAAACCTCAACTCACAGTTAAAAGTTACAAATTTACTTAACGAGTTATAGTATTACCTCTGACTGAGAAAAAATGCTCTATTGCAGTTACCACTTTCTCTTATTAAAAATATTTTTAGGTTGTTAGTAGCAGGTTACGTTAGTCAAACGTCAGAAGGACACCGCTTAAAACTTAGACAAACTACTTTAATGCCAAATATACCAGGTCTACCAGTATTGTTAACACTTTTGTTTTGTCCTACTATGCAACCCAAATTGACTGAAGATGGTACTAGAGTTGCATCTATTCTTTGTGGATTGGGTTATGATAAATATATGAATAAACCTTATTACCCTGCTCACGATTTTACATTGGACCTTGATACCGAATTGACTGAAGATGAGATAAACAGGGTAAGTAAAAAGTTCTGCTAAAAAGAAAATACGCATCTTTCCAAATTTTTAACTTTTTTTTTAATTTTATTTCAGATAAACAGAGTACGTTTTTCATTAAATCAAGGAATAAAATTAATGGCAGAAATCTCAAATCAAATGTCGGTCCAGGATGAAATGTTAAGAATTCAGAAATCTCTTAAGCGAGACCTCATTAAGTAAGTCGTACATCTCATTTTTTAAAACTTATTCCAATGTCTCTTCATTAATGTATGAACTTTAATATACGATTATCCGTGTCCCAAGTTAATCTTTTTATTATTATTATTATTATTATTATTATTTCAGCCTTATTTATTCTGAAAGAAAAGTTATTGAAAGAACCAGCGTAAAAAATGCAAATGTTTGGGGCAAAAATAACTTTGAGGCACAAGAACTCAAACCAAACATATCTGACGAAACAGAAGACGTATGGCCTCTATTATGGTTTGTTAAATTGCACAAGAAAAATCATCCACATATTGGAAAAAATCTCGCCGAATTGGAAAGTATGGCTAAAAGGTAAGTGAATAGTTAGTTGCTTGATTCAACATTATATTCATTATTATATTCTTCAACTTTAGTTCAACTAGTTCTTCTGTGATTACAGTACCTATCTTATCTTCTATTCTTGTATATCTCTCAATCCCATTCTATCCGACTTCTCTATTATTATCTCTATATCGATTTTTCTTGATTTAACTATTTTTCACTCAGGCTAGATACAGAGTGTTCCGTAATTATGTTCCAATATTTTAACAGCGTGTTATACCAACCACAGAAGGGGGGGGGGGGGGGGGTTCTCTTACAAAACTTTGCAATTTGGGTTCTCTTTGTCGAGATATTATTTAGGTCTCAAAAGTGCAAAAAAAAATGTAAACCGTTAGATTTAGAAATTGTAATTTTAGTACACAGTATCCTTTAGTCGAACCCTATTTTATTATGGTCTCTTCTTTCAGTTCATCAAACTAGCAACATCTCTTTTATTTCTTTCAGAACTTTTTCTTTAAAAGCCATTTATAATAATTATAATTAATATACGTAATTTAGAATTTTTTTATTCTTGTAATTTTTTCGTATATTCAACAGTATAAAAAAAATAAATATAATTTATCCTGATTTGATACAAGACTACAAGAGATGTCAAAGAAGGGAACAGAGCACTTAGGCAATTTTGAGTTGAAATTTATGCCATATTTTTAGGCTATTTTAAGGCTAATTTTATACCCTATTCAAAAATTTTTAGCTCCTCGTTTTTTGCAAAAAAAAACAAGGTGCTCTGCTAGCTTCGAAAGAAGTTTTTTTTTCTTAAAATATAAAACTTTACTAAAAAAACAACGTGCTCTGCTGTGTTCCAACAAAGCACGCTGTATTCTTTGAAAAAATATATTTTTTGAGCTTAAAAATGTGGTGTAGTTGTTTTTAGAAAAAAGCTTTAAAAAACCGAGGTGCTCTACTTGATTCGTACAATGCATACTCTTATTTTTTTTTTCTCTCGAAAAGTTTTATATTTCAAGAGGCTAAAAATAGCTTAAACATGTAACATAAGTAGTTGTTTCCAGAAAAAAATAATGTTTTCGAAAAGTTTTATAATATTTCAAGAGCCTTAAAATGTGGTGTGGTTATTAAAAAAAAAAAGGTTTAAAAAACCAGGGTGCTCTGCTGGATTCGTTCGAAGCTAGCAAAGCTCTTTGTATTTTAAAAAATACTCATTTTGAATAGTTTTATAATATTTTAAGAGCCTAAAAATGCGGTTTGGTTGTTTTTATAAAAAAAGCTGAGGTGCTCTTCTGCTGACTTTGTTCCAACAAAGTACCCTGAATTATTTAAAAATAGTAATTTTTTAGCAGTTTTAAAATATTTCAAGAGTCTAAAAATGTGGTTGTTCTTAGAAAAAAAAGCTTTAAAAAACCGATGTGCTTTGCTGCATTCGTTTGAAGCTATCAAAACCCCCTATAATTTTTTTCGAAAGAAGAGCCTAAAAATGCGGTGGTTGTTTTTAGAAAAAAGCTTCAAAAAGCCGAGGTGCTCTGTGACTTTGTTCCAACAGCGCACCCTGTATTTTTAAATATCAATTTTTTAGTAAAGTTTTATATTTCAAGAGCCTAAAAATGCGGTGTGGTTCGTTCGAAGCTAGAAGAGCACCTTGATTTTTGCAAAGAAAGAGCAGCATACATTTTTTAAATAGGGTATAAAAATAGCCTAAATATATGTCATAGGTTAGGTATACAATAATACAACAAAACAATAAGTTGTTTTAACATTATGAAACTACATAATTGTAAAATAAAGTTAATGTATTACAGTATGGATTAGATTTGAAATTTTATTTTTGCAAATCTTGAAAGCTATTTAAAAATCCAATATGACGTACCCTCAGGGGTCCCACAAGGTTCCCATTCGGGACCATTATTGTTCTTACAATATATCAATGATGTTAGATATTTTCCAATATAGTAATTTTCTACTTTTTGCTGATGACCTTAAGATATATATGCACTGCACGATTGGGCTGTGAATAACTGTATGTCACTTAATATCAACAAGTGTTACACAATTATTTTTTGTAGAGGACATGAGAAGATTGTATTTGATTACTCAATGGTAAATTCAATTCTTAAAGGTGTTAATGAGATAAAAGATTTAGGGCTGCTCTTAGATCAATAAATATTTAATTAAACTGTAAGTTTTGTCTTAAGGTAGTTCACTCGCAACAGTCGTACATAAAAATATCGCTGGTGAATACCAAAAGTTCGAGATTCTCAATGCTAAAAAAAATTATTTTCGTAAGAGACTACACAACACATGTAAGCTTATATATAAGGATACGTTATAATTTCAAATTAAATCCATCCGGCAACGTCGCAAATATATGAATGGTGGGCTATAGAAATTTGTGACTTCCTAATACTAATTTTTAGGGTTTGTTTTGGTTCAAACAGAATAGATTCCAGTCCTCAAATAAAGTGGACAAATTAATTTTTATTATTTTAAAAATCTATCTTTTTACCAAGACGGTCAAAAATTCAGCGTTTTTTAGAAAAATGGTTTAAATTACATTAGTTTTTAAAAAATATAGTAAGAATCGTTTTCGAGATATCGTGAAATAAATACATTGCTTGTGTACATGACAGGCTTCAAGAGTGTTAATTATGCACATTTTGATCGTTAATATCTCGTTTCACAAATTGTCAAAAAATTATTTTTTTTTAGTTACGTAAAAGACACTTTCATTAACCTTAATTTCAATTTTATTGAATTCTTAAGAAACGCCGTTTTATGAGTAAACTACCTTAAGGAACTAGAATAATCTCTCATTGAATTACATTAAAACATTTTTCTTAGTTAGATCAATATTGGAATATGGGTTGCCAGTTTGGTCACCAATTTATGATGTACATTTTAGGTCATTAGAGTATGTTACAACATAATTTTTTCTCGGATATTGTACATTCAGATTAGGTTTAGTAATTCGCAACTATATGTTTTATTAAACTTATTATTTTTGCATTGTTTCGAACGTTTAGATTCGATTCAATTTAGAGTACCATTAAGGTATACTGCCACCCTAAGCCAAAAAGCGGTATCTCAAAAAATCGACTTTTTTTATTTTTTAACCCTTCAGATAGCTTGAAAAATTCCCCATCAAATAATCTAATAAAAATAGTAATATCTCACTCAGAACATTAAAAAAAAAAACATGACAAATTTACATATATCTACTTCACTTATATTTACTGAAAGGCTTAGGGGCATACCATTATTACTAAACTAACTAGCTACATATCCATATACGACACAAGAACTTTAAAAATATTATTCAATAACAAAAAATGATTTAAATTAATGCAGTGGTAACTTTTAGAAAATGTGCTTTTTCTTGAAACCCACTTCAATTGAAATACCGCTTTTTGGCTTACGACAGTATACTCGTCAAAATAATTTATACTTAATTTCATTTCACAGAACTAATTATGGCTTATTTAGTTCTGTAACAAGAATGCAAAAAAGTACAAATTCAATCAATTTTGATATTCTGGGCACATCTTTCTAATATACTCTCTTGATATTTTTTCTACATTTTCAAAGTTAAATTATTCAAATAAATATTTACTTATAAGAAATGTAAAATTATTACACATGCTATATTTTATAAGGGGAAAAAGGAGCCTTTTTGCATATCTAAAACTCTACAATTATATATTTTTTCAACATAGTTTCTCTATATTCGACCGACAACTCTACCCCTGAGAGCTCTCATTAATTGATGAATTTTGATATAGGAACATGAACCCTTAGTTACAGAGATACAGGATGTTAACCTTTTAAATCAAAATTTGCCAAATATTAAAGTCATTATTATTATTTTTAATTTGATATATCAAAATCATGTCAAATATTGGAACTATTAAAAATTTGATACCTGTCTACTAGATTAGAATTTAGAAATACAGAGTCGTTACGTTAAATTTTTCAAAAGTTAGAAAATGTCAGAATTTACTTTCTTAAAGAAAGAGCACATTGATCATCAGATTTAAAAAAAAATTATTTCAACCTTTTAACACCCTGTATCTCAGTAAATAAGCCCTTTAAGGGTTCATGTTCCTTAATGCACTTATTTTTGTGAAGTTTACATAAATTAAATACACTTTTAGGTTGACACCAGCTACTGAAACTGAATGTTTACTCTGTAGAGAGAATTTATTATTTCTACATGATATCCGAACACATCTCATTTCACAGGACCATAAAGAAAGAGTTTCAATTTATTACCAGGATTGTCAAAATTCAGGAACACTGGAAGCAGAAGAGGATTAGTTTTTAACTTTCGTTTTATTCAATATATCCTTGTATTTTTATTTTTTTTACCATTGTTATATTTAGTTATGTTTAAAACTAACTTTTATTGTTGTATCCTGTAAAATGATGTTCTGCAGTTAAGAGTTCTGAATTTTATTTTTTTTTTGATAATAAAACAACGTTTTTTTATATTTGTATCTTTATTTTAAATTAACAGCTTAGATTACAAAATTCCATTTTTAATCCAACTGAAAAAAAAAAAAGAAATATTTATTAAAAATTAGTTTTTAATAGATAGGGAATGTTTAGTTTGAGCCCTTCCAAATAAATGTAAGCAACGAAATAAAATAAAAAGATAATTACTAAGAAAATAAACAATGTGCCTTATCTGTCCATAAAATACTGTAAACGTTCAATGTCCATGGGAGCCCTTTCGCATTAATCCTTATGTACTTACAGTTAACAATAAACCTTTGTTTGTTTGGCATCGACATCAATGAACCTATTTTTTTAAATCAAAATACAGTACAATAATTGCTTTCGTTTGATATGGATATAAACCTATTTTCAACTGCATTCTAGTGGATTACTATCGAAAACTATCGATTGTTTTAAATAATCGATAGTTTAAACTCGCATGTTTTTAGTATTTTTCATTTTCACAAAATACGATTCAAAAAACAAATTAAAAATAAACCAAATTTATAAGAACGCAATCTGAAATTCAGCAATGTTTTAAAGGTTGCCTAACTAATTTTTTATTATAGACTAGAGAGAAGGAGGCAAATCGGAAATGGGCAAATTTCCATTCTTCTTTTTATAAAGTTTGCGAAATTGACTGTAGTTGGCATGTCGAATGACAGCGGTGTCAATTTTCTATGTAAGTTAATGTAAAACGAAGTATTTTTTTAAAAAATAAAGAAAACACAAGAAGAAATCAATTCAATGTCTTTTTAAAGCTTCCAATGTAAATAACATAATGTATTCATGTCTAAATATAATATTTATTGTAAACTAGTCACAATATGTATCTTACGAAGTGTAGTTTATTTTATTAAAAGTTTCTATAATATAAAATTTACAGTCATAGATGCTGACTTACAAACATCAATAATTATGCATTAAATTTAACTTACTAGAGAAGCAAATTTATTTTTTTACAGCGTTTTAATGTTAGATAAAGAGTTGCTACTGTTATTTTTTTTTTTACCCCAATGTTTTTTATAGGATATTAAACGTTTAGAACAGTGACAGCATATATATCGTTCCTAGTGCTGATAAAGCACTTTCTAGAGATGATGCTGTTCTATAGTTATCAAATATTATGACACTATTTTTACTGATGGTACTGTTAGCAAAATAAAAAGGGGAAAGCTGAAATTAAAGGATGAGGCAATATCATGTACATTCCCAAATCTCCCTTTATACCTGTATTAAAATAATAAAAAACCTGTTAACTGTGTTTTATTTTACTTTTAAAACTATATATTGGTTCAATTAAAAAAAAAAAATTGCCTAAAATTGTACTTATCAAATTTGAGCATTTAAAAAACCTTTTAGAATTTGAGCATACATAATTAATTTGTATTTTATATAGATAAAATTAAATAATTTATCAATTAAAACATGCAAGACTTATTTAGAAATAAATACAACAGTATGCTCTGTGCTTTATTTAGATATAAACAAGTTTATTTTTATTATTTTGACAAAATTATGTATAATGCCATGTATTTTGAACACCGTATGTAGTACCAGTGCTCATGCGGTTAATTATAGAAGCTCAATTAGCATGCGTTTTTTGGGATCGTATTTTGAGTATGCCGATTCGCCTCCTTATCTCTAGTCTTCATATTATATATGCACACCACTGCAAATGTCTCATTCTGTTTTCTTGTGTCACTGCTTCCTGTTTGTGCAGCCATCTATTGCTTTATGAACAAACTAAAGAAACATCCCCGTATGATGCCAGTATGCAAACATAAGGATCCTTTGATCCATTAATTGTGTATCATGTGCAACATTGGTATATTTTCGATAGTACTATCGATTGTAATTTTTGAGACTATCGGAAACGTATCGATAGTATCCGACCACTAATGGCTGCATAAGAATTATTTTTAATTAAAAAAATCGCCAGGAACCCCTTTAGATACGCAAGAATTTGAAATTTTAATTATTAAAACAAGAAATCAAAATTAGCTCACAATAGATTACTAAAAAAAAAAAATCTTCACTGTACATTTTTTTATCTACCAAGAAACATTTTACTCTATTGCCCAATTAAGTCATTCTATAGACTTTTTTTGAAGTTAATTATTGTTTTACCCATTCATCACATCTATTCTAAGGTTGAACCTGCAGGAAAGTAGAGTCTACATGCAGGGACAGCAAAAGTTGAGGCAGCAGTTCAGTCATCACTGTGTGTCTGAGACAAAAGTTTTGACAATGTGCCCAATGACTGCAAAGTATTACATCTATACTAAGTTCATAATCAGATTCCAATGATTATGAAGCCCAAATAATTGCAACATTATTCCATAAAAAGCTTTTGAAAAGCAGTTATTTATTCTTAAATATGAATTTTCCAATGAAAAATATAAAAATCGATAATGAGTAACCCATATACTTATTTGAAATGCATGGATTCACCACTGTCACTAGTGAAAACTGTAATGCAACCACAAACTTTCATAACCCAAGGACTCATTGAAACAGTCACTTTATCCTGTATGGGAACATTAGTTATTGTTTCTATTTCACAGAAACTCAGGGTGAGGCATCTCACCACTACTGTACTGCTTTTCAACTTGTACCCAATTTTAATGTTTTTTCAACTAAGGGTAAAATTGCCTTACATAAACATTGTGAAGGGCTCAAATAAAATATTTACCATGAAAAGTATTACCTTTTTGAATCCAATATCACCAGCATATTCTCTGAAGCACTGACGACACAGATTTAAACCATATTTACGGATCAATCCATGTCTGTTTGAGCAGGCACGGCTAAAAGAAAATATCTAGTATTACTTGCAATAAGAATAAGAGTTTTAACATATGTAACATGTAACAACATAAATCCCGTTAATAAAAAAGGAATGAGTCATATTCCTTACAGGGTTGATTTGAAACAAGTAATGGAATCTGATAAATCGCCAATAAAAGACTAAATAGACTTGCTTTTTTAATAAATTATATACAAATTCTACAGACAACGTTAGAGCTTACAAAATATTTTTTTTACTAGAAATTCCCATTTTCCCTAGTTTTTACTAATTATTGTAAAAACACGTTTTCGTTTGAGGTTAAGTTAGAAACCAATTGGATTTAAAAATGTTCCAAACCACATTTTATACATACCATGATCGGGAGCCTTGTCCATATTTACGAGGATGAGAATACCAAATATTCTGGAAACCCATATTTATTATTTAATATTTTTATAAACGGAACACAAATGTGCTAAATCGAGGACGACAGCAGAAAAAGACCGAGCTGAATCGGAGTTTTACGGAGCTTCTTCGTTTACGATAATTGCGCATGTGTGACAAATGACAAATCTGATAAGATAGAGCGGCAAATTTTAAAAGTCTGTTCCGTAATTCATTAAATTTATTAGCTATTTTTCGCGGGACCGAATCCGAACGTATTCTGAACGCTAAGGTAATATATGGCTAAGGTAAAGCCTACACGCCTACATAAACATTTAAGGGCCGATTCCACCGTTGTGTTAAACGGAGATTAAAATGACACTGCAAGGACTGATTCCACCGTTGTGTTAAACGAAGTTTAAAATGACATTTTTACATTATTTTATTTTTAGTTTTACACCCTTCAGACCTCCCGTGCTACACCCTAATCCGTCTGTAGTCTGGCAGCACTGCATGGTTGGACCTCCTAGCGATCACCCATCCACGACGTGACCGGAGAGATCACTGCTTAACTGTTGCGAGTAAGTGGATGCACACTAAGCTCGCGGCTAGCCTCTCCGGCATTAACAATGTCAAGTTAATCTCCGTTTAACACAACGGTGGAATCGACCCTTAATGTAAAAATGTCATTTTAAACTTAGGACATGCTTAGGACCGATTCCACCGTTGTGTTAAACGGAGATTAAAATGACATTTTTACATTAACAATGTCATTTTAATCTCCGTTTAACACAACGGTGGAATCGACCCTAAATAATACAAATCCAGTGTTATAATATGCAGTCTAATTTTCACTTTAGCTTTCAGAATATGTTCGTGATTGGTTACGCGAAAATAGTTATTCACTTTCTCGTCAAAAGTCAGACGTTACAGGTTCTGCTATTTTTAAAATTTTCTTGAATAGTGCAAACTGTCCGAGATTCAATATAACTACCAAATTATTCGTATGTACAGGGTTTTTAAACAAATTAGCCCCACCTTGTGTTTGGAGCTGGAACTAAAATGACAATTGACAGATGGCGGTAAATTCAAATTGTAATTTTTAGGAGTAGGTAGTAGTTTTAAATTAAATTTTAAAATTTCCACATAAATTATTTTATAAAATAAAGAATGGAACTAGTAAGTTCGAAACTTTTATTTTACAAAATAATTTAGGTCGATTATACCAAATTTGAGGAATTAATTTGTTATAAGCAGGGGTCTGATGTGGAGAGTTGGTTTTGCATATTATTATTAAATAAATATAAGATATATCAATAAATAATAAAATAGAACATTCTTAAAATATGTTTATTAATAACTTAAATAAATAATATTAGATAAAAATAAATACAAATAATTAATACATATTTAACGAATACTTACTTGCAGCAAATAGGTATACAATCTCAAATCTTTAAAATACCTATCAATAATTTAAATGTGAAGTAGAGACTAGGATATTACATTTTATTAACACTAAAATAATATATTTTATAAATGTCTTTTAAACCGAGGACAAATGTAATATAGGTATTGTATTAAAAGGTGAATCCTTTTAACTATTCATTCAATGATAAATAGGTATTTTCCTTCCAAATACAGATGGTGGTATTACTCCACTGCTTTGTGTATTACTCTCTTATGTGAAAAATGATTTCGAAATCTAGTCCAGTGATAAATTGATTATCAATTAGTTGTTATACCCGTTTGTCTTTTTATGATGCAGGTGCATGGTGAATCAATGAAGTTTTTCTCGAAGTTTTCAACGTAGCAAGACACAGTAGGAAATAGAAAAACAAAACATCACAATTTTGCAAATATCTAAGACGAAACTATAAACAGAAACCAAAAGCCAAAGCCAACAAAAAATCACTAAAATCAGACGGAAAAATGAGATTAACCAAAAACATAAATAAATACACGTCACATCTTTGGAGTCTTTGGTTAAGTTTTTCTCCCATAAAGCTTAAAAATGGAGTAAGAAATCAGAATTTTACCAGTAGCCCCATCTAGAGTTTGGAGCAAATAGCATAAAAAATGTCAGTTGTCGGTTTTGACCTTGGTCATTCACGTGGAACCTCTATGTGCTTTGTGGATTCCACCATTGTGTTAAACGAAGTTTAAGGACCGATTCCACCATTGTGTTAAACGAAGTTTAAAATGACATTTTTACATTAACAATGTCATTTTAATCTCCGTTTAACACAACGGCGGAATCGACCCTAACACAACGGTGGAATCATACGTGCTTTGTGGTGGAATCGGTCCTTAGGAAAGTTTTCGTCTGATTTATGAAGAATTTATGAAGAATGTACATTAGATCATGAGTTATAATCATGATTTATCGTAATGAGCTACGATTTATTTCTATGGCTGGGGTAGAATGGAGTGTATATGTTGAGCGTTGAGGGTATACGGACTAGGGGTGAGATTATAGAAGTTCTGCAAATCGTATTTGTATCCGCAAATATCAGTTGAAGTTGCAAAAGAGAAACGTGGTATTACAGAAACCTATTTTCATTTTTTGCGTCTGCAAATCATCTGTAACTTTGCAGGAAGTTGGAATATCCGGCAAACTTGCAGAATGTCAATTTTTGCTTGATTCTTTTTTTATTAAATATAAAGTCTTCTGTTGCTATTAATTGCATACAGTTCGTGATGTTAGATTATAGAATTTTTAAACACAGTAATGGATTTGGGTTATTTAGAGTTGTTGGGGGTAATAAACCACAATATAAATTGCGAATTTGCAGATACTTTTTGGAATACGAAAAATTGATACTTGCAACTTGCATTTGTAAGTCCACCATATTTGCAGATCTGCAAAGTTGCAGACTTGCTTTTTCTGTAATTTCGCTCTAAGTCTACCGTGGATTCACGCCACTGTACAAGAATGAATCAATTATGAGATGTGAATTTTTAGTCTAGTTATGAAGGTCTTTGATCTATCGAGTAAAATGTGAACAGGGCTTTAACCAAGCACAACTTATTGATTGTTGATTGGTCGATAGTAGAGCAAATTGACCAATAGAAACATGAATTCTGGATCATGTGGGTCCTCTTTACCAAATGAAAACTTATTTGAAGAATAGAAAAGTCAAAGAATTTTGTTTATATCTGAATTTGGTTATTGGGTTTAATTTAAATGTTTAAAACTAAAATATTGAACAGCTTGACCAATTTCTTTTGTATAATTTCAATGAACGCGGAAAATGCTGTGGAATTTGTTAATATGGATTTTCTGCATGACAAAAATATGTTTTTCTGATACTTTAGATGTGTGTTTGAAGAAGGAAGAAAATTGTGATGAAATTAAGTAATAATATGGATAACATTTGACCTTTTCAAATAATATACATTGCACCAAATATAAATATGTGTTGTTTACATGCCAGGTCGTGAAACAGGCAGCTTTCTTACTGATTTTATAGGGCAAATAGCAAATAACTTAGTTTTTGAAACCCTTTGCTTTTTAAGTTATTCATAAATGGATGGAGATAGTTTTGAACCATTTAAATAGTAAATATCTATTTGCTGCTGATGGGCTTATAATTTACATGCCCATTATTACTTATGAACACAGTTTTTTGGTTTACTCCTTACTGGTGCATTATTCTTGGTGTTATTACTATGCTTTGCTTCAACATAAACATAGATACAATTTTTTCAAGAATAACGGAATATGAAGCTTTTATGTAATTAACAGTGCTCATTTCTTGAGAACATTAATGATGTATATCAGATTTAGAGCTTTTAAGGTATTGGTTGGGTATTTATTGATATCTTACAACTTCTCTTTGCTCTTTAAAAATGTATAAATATGGATCTGGTTATTTCTCATTTTTGCATATTAGCTAATCTTCGCTGTCTTGTTGCAAAGTTAATGTATTCATTTGTTTATAAATATTCATCAATAGCATGATCACCCTTATATCAGATTCATTATACCTTGATCCTATCCATTTCTCACCTTTTATTAACGATGTAACTTCCTGCTTTTTTAAAAGTACTTGTCTTCTATATGCTGATGATCTAAAAATGTTCAGCACAGTCACACATAATACTACCCTTCAAGGTTATTAAATAATAGGTGCAAGGTGAACCATCTCTTATTAAATACTAGTAAATGCAAGACCATCCAGTTCACTAGAGCTTTAACCCATTCTCTAAACCGATACTGTGTTGCAAGACGTCACAGTGAGAGATAAAAAAATACCCAACATATGTATGATACTAAAGCAATATTAACATTATTTAACAGCTTTTTTAAAGTCATTCTTGAATAATGCTCCATACTATGGCATCCTAACTAGATCTACCACATAGAGAGGTCAGTGTAAATTCACTATTTGCTATTTAAACACCACTTTCCTTACCAAAACGTTAGTTACCAAAGTAGGCTACTTTTATGTTGTATGCAAAGCCTAGAAACCAGAAGAATGCATGCTTTATTCTGTTTCTATATAAATTAATTGACGGTAAGATCGAATGTAGCGCCCTATTACAATCTGTTAGCTTTTTAGCACCTGTTCAACATATACTTTATTGTTTTTATCAGAAGACAGAACCAATTACGGACAAAGAGCGTTTATGGACCTTAGATGCCACAATTACAATAAGCTTTATTTAATACAATGTTGTATGTGTTAAACAACAATTTGTAAATAATTTATTTTAATATGTATGTGATTTTACTTGCTTTTATGTGGTATTTTTGTGACCCGAGGGATTGACATATTTTTTGTACCATTTAGAATAATTTTGAAGTGCACCTATTTGATAAATAAATAAATAACATATAGAACATTCATCATCATTTTAATACCACCTATCACACCTATGTTACAATATAAATAAATTTGGGATTTTAGCATTTTAAAGTTGGCCTTTTTTATATCTATCCAATAAAACATAACTCGTGTGTATAAAATTATAGATACTATAGACAAAATATTTCATTTTATTTTTTGACGGCAGGTTTTTGCAAAGCTCTGTGATACCATTATGCTAATTTACTCAAATTTATAAATTCTGCACATAGGTTAATATGACGACAATTTAAAAACAAATTTCTAAGGGTTTGTGGATTAAAATAAATAACTATACTCTGTCATTAATGAAATGAATTTGAAAACTTGAAAAATTTCTGTTTAATATGTAAATAATTTCACTTCAGTGTCCCTTACTAAAATATCTACAAAAATGTACATTACTTAAAGACTAGTTTATTAATACAATAATATACATGTATGTTTCAGAAGATACCTGTTCTATGATGTCAATAGGCCAGAAGGGTTTAACTTAAGAAGAGATGTTTATTTACGTTTTGCCATATTGGCTCATAAAATGAAAATGTCTAAAAATGAACATTTAAATAATTTCTATCTAGTACTTCCTCCCTGGTCCAATTTAGTTCATTGGGATTATAGCGACACACCGGAACATATACCATGGGCATTTTATTTTGATCTAGATAGTTTAAAGAAATTTGCCCCAGTAATAGAAATGCATGAATTTTTCTCGAGTAAGTTTCTCTTCATATTTACGAAGTTAGGTATAAGTTAGGAAAACCAACATATTTGATAAAAGAAGCAGCTTTCACCATAGTGTATGTATGCATTTAATTAAATCAATTTTAATAAACGGAATGCTTTATTATCACAGGGAATATTAAATTATAAATTAGCATACTGCTTTTATTATGAACTAAGGAGACTGCAGACTTTTTAAATTATTAATTGAAAAGAATATAAGGATTTTTCAAGAAATAAATAGTTACAAATTAAAATACTAGTAAAAATGCAAAATAATAGAATATAAAAACCTCGTAACATGCTCATGGAATTGAGATTAAACTAAATTCTGTTTAAGATGAAAAGAATTATAAATGAGGGTGATCATTTAAGTATTCTGTGTTTTGATATGAATTTCTTATATTAGAATTCATCCAAGTAATCTTTATGTTTATTTTTATACTCAAATCAATTAAGAACACCTCTAGAAGTGTAAAATTTGTAGTTCTTTATAAAAATAAGTTAATTAATTGTTAAACTCACAATACCATGCCTTAGTTCGCAAACCTTTTAAGTCCATTTACTAAAATAACTTAAAAACACTAAAATACATAAGGATGTACTGATTACCTTAACGTTACAAATCATATTATCCATCAAATAGACTCTTATAATTTTCAAATTCAATTCAGTTTCAAAATAGAAATGTTTTTATTGTCCCCTGAAAAAACCTTCATTTGTTTGCGAACTAAAGCATCAATTAGTCTCTGTGTTTGTATAATAAATCATTTTAACATCGTTTTTAGATTACCCAAACAAATATTCTAAAATTGAAATCGAACAAGTATTAACATTACAACATTTTGAAGATATGTTTGAAACGGGAAATTTTGAAGACAGAATGAAATTTGATGATTGTAACAGGAATTTTGATTACACATATTTCTTTTACAAAAATATAACGGCCAAAAAGATACAATGTTTATCTTATCATGGGCCAGCTACAAAATTAACAGAGGCTTTCTTAAATACAACAGCCAAGTATGTATTCTTTTATAGTTAATTTGATTATATCACAGTGTAATAATTGTCTAATACTGACTAATAGCTGATAATTATACTTGGCAAATTTCGTTGGTAGTATTTAATAAATAATAAGATTTTTTCCATAACAAAGTCTCTGTTTTCTAATACATTTTTCAAATATTCTATATATCCTATTAACTTTGTTATTTAGTTTTATTCTTTACTATATAATACCACCCATTTCATTTAATGCTATAAAAATCTAGTAGACTAGCTTGTTTTATATTATTACTCTTGTACTGCAACTGAAAATTATTGAGATGTCTTATTTCATTAATTCGTAATATAATCTGTTAAATACAACTTTTGGATTCAGGACTTTGGTAATCACATAAATTAATGTATTCAATGAGTTGTCAAATGATAGTTTTTGACACTTTTTGTGCATTTGTTTATGTGATTATTTATATCCCAATACCACTCTTATTATTTGATAATTATTTTTTTAATGTTGCATTTTTTTACAGAACTATTTTAATTAACCATGCAGAAGTTGCACTTCATGATTATTTTGGAAATGCTTTATATTGGCAAGCAAGAAGGAGTATGAGATTTAATAATGATCTTAAGAATGTTGCCAGTGATTTTCGGAAAAAATATCTAAATTCAGATGATGATAATGATAATACCAATCAACCTGATAGCTGGACAGATGAAACAGTAGGTATAATATCAGGTATGCCACCCATTCATGCTAGAAGAATTAATAACTCATTTGAAGGGTAAGGGGAGAAAACCAATGATGTCCATTTTATAGGAATTTTAAGTAATCAACTTGTTATGTTGGTGATCCCGTGTCCCAAACCCATGCTAAATTGTAAGCGAATAGAACAAATTAGGCCCGAATAATAAGGCATTTAAAAATAATCATACTTGTTAAAAACAGACGTTGTCAGTGCGGTACTGGAAAAAAACCGACATTGTCCAGGTTAAATACAAGGATTTGCTAGTACTAAAACGATTTTGTCACCCAAATTCTAACGAATTTTATGAAACATTGTTATACAGGTGAAAATCTCTTTATTTTAAGTTAGTTTTAAAATGGAAATCATTCCTTTTTAACAAGTTATTTGTCACGATTATTTTTTTTTATCCTAAATATAATCTTACGTTTAAATTCTTTTGTAACAAGTTAACTATACAGTAATAAAGTACGTTAAAAATATTAACGTGTAGTTTTATTTATTTCTATGACTGTAACATAAGATTTGGTAAAAATATTAATTATAAACTCAATTTTCTCATAAGGCAGTTTTGTGACATCATCTGTTTTTCCCCTTACCCTTCATTTATAATGCATATTTGTTTCTTATGGAGTGGGTGGCTCAGTGGTTGAACATTCTGATCCAATAAACCATAGTTCAAATCTCAGCAGGTTCGGGATTTTTATAATTAATATTATGAATTAAAAATTATTTGTAATGCCTGGGTAGGATTCCCCACTCAGACATTCCTTGTTGGTTTCTAATTAGCAGTGCTTTTGCTAAAGTGGTGCTGAAAAATAGTAACACCGTTTATACAACACAACTAAGGGCTGTGTAAAGGGGAGGAAGATGGTAAAAGTGTATTTTTTCAAAACGTATACTTATAAATAAAATTTGGAACAAAAATCACCACAAACTCAAACTTTCTTTAATAAAAAAGTAAAAAAACAAAAACTTGATCTATTTAAAATTTAAATTTAAAAATAGACCCAAAATGTGTATATGCCTTTAGCACCAATAAAAATAATTTCTCTTTTCTTTAGCCAAAACGTAACGCAATTGGAGGCCCTTATGTTGGAATACACCTCAGAAGAAGAGACTTTGTTAGGAGTAGAGCTGGAGAAGTTCCTTCACTGAAAAGTGTTTCAAAGCAAGTTAAAACAGTTTTAAAAAAACTGGATTTGAATACTGTTTTTATAGCTACTGATGGAACTCATGAAGGTACATAAAAATTTACTTTTATATAATATTTTCAGTATATTTAATTTGAATTTTGTTCTCATTTCATAAATAATTTGCTTGTGAAAACAGAATGTATACTGAGTTTGGAAAGTGGGCTCCTTTTATTTTGTTCCCTCTATATCTAACTTAAACACGCCTTACATCATAAGTTGAAGTGCAGTTAGTAAAAGAGTGAGTGAACCTGACCTGCCGACTCAGCTACAGTATTTTATTAACTAATCAAAAAAATATAAGATCCACAAAACTTATATTGATTTTTTTCAACAAAGTGTTTTCCTTACTATTTTTAATTTTCAATATTTATAATGAAATTCAGTTTATGCACTTATTTTGCGCACATTTTATCATATTCACTAAGAAAAAAAAATTAGCCGTTTATTGAGAATATGAACAAGAATTGTAAACTGGCCTTGCATACGAGTTGCACTAAAAATCTCCATTAAATGTCACTAAAATCATTTTTTAGATAATTATAATTTATACGAATTTAAAAGTGTTACTACTACTATTTTTGTTACCACATTTTACTCTTTGTCATATTTGAAAGTCTTGACACAATCAAAATTCAAAAAATAAATGACCTAAGGTCAATCGTACCCAGTAAAAAGTTTAAATACGAATTACTCTAAAATTGCAAAATGGAAGTAACCCATGTGCATTAATAAAATTTAAATGGTACCAATTCAAGGTTACATAAGGCCATTTGCTCCGCTAGTCAATAATAAATAATCGAAGCTTAAAATTACATTGTTAAAGGAAAAATGTCAGTTTAAGCTTGGCTTATTTCTTAACGACTGGCGGTACAAATGGCCCATTAGAGAGATACGTGGATAATGTTTGTTTAAATTTCACAACATATTTTTAAATTTAAACATTAACTATCCCGCCCCTGTGTTTAAACTAGCTGCGATTAATCCAGGCATTCAAGATACTATACAAGCTAAACATATATTTTGCATGCATGACGACGGTCACGTACGCCAGTACTACTCTGATCAAACCTCATTCCAATATACGGGGTCCCTACTATGTAATAGAGACAGTATTGGTATTTCTTAAACGATTACAGATAGAAAATTGGTTAAATTAGAAAAAAATTGCGCAGTTTTATGCTCATTAAAATGGTGCAAAAAACCTTTGATATCTACAGAGAGATTCAAATTATTGGACCAAAAAATGAAAATTCATTTATTTTTGGTTTGATAGTTTGAATTTTCCTGTAAATATTGAAGGTTTCTTGGCACCATTTTAATGAGCACCAAAGTGAGCAACTTTTGTCTAATTTAACCAACTTTCTATCTGTTACCTTTTAAGAAATAGCAATACTGTTCCTATGAAAGGTAAGAACTCTGTATATAACATCGCTTGCATCGCAACATTTCACTCGTTTCCACTCAATAGAATTAAAAAATATTTGCAATGAATTTCACGTGCTGATGTAATGAACATCAGTTGAACACGTCCTCCACACACAATAACGGCATTCCTGCATCGTCTGCTTGTACCATTAATTTTTATCGCATATCGTCACTCCATTTTTAAACTTCCAACAGTTAACATGTCTCGGGCTCGTTTAAATCACTAGCTACACGCTCTCCACTTTCAACATGACTGAATGTCTGATGTCAGCATATATTTCGTTATTATCGCTAAAAAATACTCTTTTCAACCTTCGATCAATTCACTTCATTTACAAACATAACTACTAGCATGATATTTGAGTATCCTACAAGCAAATGAATGGTTTAGTCGTGCCATAGTGTAAATAATTTTTGTTTTCATTCTTTTTGTCGAATAATTAAAACAGAGAGAGAGAGAGAGAGCGCGAGAGATAGGGATAGAGATAGATATAGGGATAGAGAGAGAATATATGTTTATTGTCAAAGATACATTATCTTATGGACAAACACATGAAATATATAAATAAATAAAAAGTTAAAAAGATAAAATAAAATCCAAATAAAACTAATAACATACATAAAAATTACACCTATAACTAATATAAAACTCGTAGAATTATTTACTATGATTGTCATGATAAAATTCATCTATATCATAGTATGATTTTTCTACTAGATAGGCATGTAGCTGTTTCCTGAAATTACTGAGAGTGTTCATGTTTCTAAATGATAAGGGCAATGAATTAAAAATTTTAATGCCGTTGTAAATTATTGAATCTTTGACCAAGGTAGATATTTAGGTATAATCAAAGCCAAATCTTCAGAAAATCTAGCAGATCTATTATTATTTCTGTAAGCCTGTTTTTTTATAGATTAAGCTGGCTGTTTCTAAAATAAAAAGTGAAGTAAGCGTTAATATTTGGTGTACTTTAAATAGTGGCCTGCAAGAGGCAGAATATTTTGCTTGAAATAGTAGACGAACAGCCCGTTTTTGTAAAACGAATGTACTATGAAACAGTTCATTGCTGCATACTCCCCAAAATTGCATTGCATACCTTAAATTAGATTTAATCAACCCAAAGTAAACATTCTTAGCTGCAGCAAATCCCAATTCCCTCCTGGTAGATCTAATCGCAAAACAACCAGAGGCTAGCTTTTTATTCAAACCATCTACGTGTCATTCAATATTTTTAGACCTAAAAATGTTATGTTGGCATGACATTCTATCAACTCCAACTTTAAAATATATTTTATTTACAACCATATATGTAATTTTGTCATTACTAACGTCATTGAAGGTTGGGAAGTGTCACATTACACACCTCTACTTCCCGCCCTCATTTCATCTATTCTAGATAAATATTTTTTATATTAAAAAAAAAAATAACACAGTGTTTGACAAATTTTATAATACCTATTTAATGGCAAACAATAAAAAACAACAATTATCTAAAATATAACAAACTACTTATTGATATTTATTATTCGCGAATTTAATATCCGGCTTTATCTGACATTTATTTATATTGGTGACAGTTTTGTTTACCCCGTAATCACAGTAACAATATATTTACCTACTTGATTATTCAGAGAAAACCGCGCGCTTGGTAATTTGTCGTTAAATGTAATATTTTAGGTATGTTCAGAACAAAACAGAGATTTATTAACTTTGATCGAAATATGATGGTTGTAAATAAAATAGTATACAAACCTCGGTAGGAAGTTTCATTCCTGTCTCGAGATCATAGCTAACCTCGACGCTTCGCGTCTCGGTGATCTAACTAATCTCACGACAGCAATGAAACTCTTCCCACCTCGGTGTGTAATATACTATTTAAAACTTAGAGGTTGGAGGTGTACCAAAATTCCTCAGTCTTATTCAATCAATCAAAACATGCTTTATTCTCAGAGAAAACCAATTCTATTAAAACATCAGAATATAAATATAAGCATCTATAAATAAATCTAAAGTAAAATATTAAGAAATTAAATTAATATTAAAAATATGCAATATTAGGTTATATTATGTCAAAAATACAATATAAAAGACAAAGAGGTACACTACAATAAATTATACAGGAAAATTTTACTAACTAGTAGTCAAAACTACCATTATAGAACTTTTGTAGGTTATAGTAAGCTTTTTCCAGCAGTAGTTCTTTTAACTTACTTCTAAATAATGACCCTTTACCGCACCAGCTTAGGGTTAATCAGTACCAGCCTGTGACACAGGACTCCACTTTAAATACCCAGCTTTTACTTTATTTACACTGTTTTCATTCAATTCCCCATAGTTTTGTAGAACCCAAGTACTTGAATTTTTTAACCGACTTCAAAAAAGGTTATCAATTCGTCGCGATATTTTTTTTTCTTTTATGTATTTTCAGCGATAATTCTTAACACGATGTCCGATTTCAATGATTCTTTTTTTGTTAGAAAGGGGATACTTCAGGGGTGGTCCCATATAAATTTGGTCAAAATCTAATAATTGGGTCCATGAGAAAATCCTCAAACTCTTCATTTTTTATGTATGTTTAGCGTTAATGCTTTACCACCTTGTCCGATTCATATGATTCTTTTTTTGTTAGTAAGGGGGTACGGGTACATCAGAGGTGGTTCCATATAAATTTGGTTAAGATGTAGTGACGGCATCTGCACGTTTTTGAAGTCGGTTTTTTAAATTTTTAATACTTGTCACATTTTGCCCTCACATGTATCTGTAATTCCTCGATGACTAAAATTATCGTCTCGGTGCCGTAGTTGTCTTATGCGCTTGCATTCATTTACAAGCAATTTTGTGGTTGAAAGACACACGTCTTCGAAACCTACGGCAGACCATGTGAATTTTTAATTTATTTGCATAGTTCATTATAGGATTTGATGGATGCAGTATTGCATGGTAGAAATTTAATTTCTGTTGATATGACATCCAGATTATAAATCGCCAAGTGTTACCGTTTCGATGATGGTGGATGAGGTTTTCCTCACATGTAAGTCTAATGACACTATGAATTAAATTTAAGTCGCCCCGGAACGCCACGGCAAATAATAATAATAGCCGTACCTTCCTCAAACTAGCTCAGCTTTTGGGGTTAAAATTTACTCGCAAGGGGGTGAATTATTGAGAGTATTATTCTCATTATTATCATGGACGGATGTCATAGAGGTCTACTTACTATTAGTGCTAATTCTTATCGTAGGAGAAAAGTTAGACAAAGGGAGGCTCGGCGCAAAAATCTATGTTCATGGTTTCATTCCTTCTTAAAAGCAAGATACATAGAGGGCGCCTTTTATACACTTTTTAACAAATTACTGTAACAGATGCACGATCTCTTATCCACTAATCAATTAAACTTACATATGAATAATTTACAATTTTCTTGGCCATTTTTTATAACTACATATGTCAAAGTTGGATGATACTGACCAAATTGCGATAACATATAGAGAGTAGTAATAAAACATATATAGACTTGCGCTGGTTTCTTGAATGGCGCGATATCAGTAGAGCATATCGTGTGCTCGCCATACTATACGACAACTGTTAATGGTATTGCCGATATGTGAAAGCGGTTGTTTCAAAAGCATCGAGTGTTATCACATTTATCCACTGATATGAGTTTCTTGTATCGACAACCACCTACTATTTCATTCAGCCATATAGTATGTAGGTACGCCCATCTCTATTAATTGCAGGTCAATATTCGTAACACGTCAGAGTGCATCGTATTCGAATTGGTGAACATGTACAATAATTAATATACTCGTCACAATAAGTATAGCATAATTTTGTTAGGTACTTATTTTTTAATTTTTGTAGAATAATTTTAGACAGATGAAATTTTGCGAAATTACGATGAATAGACAAAATCACAATATTTTATATACTGTGTCAAACTTTTTCATTGCATAACAAACGATCCATCATCCATCCATCCGTAGTAAAACATTGTTATTGGGAAAATAAACATTTAAGTATTCCTCAAAAATTAAATGTTTGCACTGGTATATTATGGGACCACATTATTGGTTCTTTTTCATTGATTGAACGATCAAAAATATTTAAATTTAATTCAAAATTAAGTTATTATTTTTACACTTATTCTGGAATCAGGAGAATCAAGTAAATATTGTCTTTAAATAATTAGAAAGAACAGTTCATGCAATACTAAATTGGAACGATTTGTACTTTCTTTAAGCTCGCATTACACAAAGTATAAAGATGGCTGTTCACTCGCAGTACCTACATTTTATGGCTTGTATACTTTTTTCCTAATCTGTATATTTACATAACCTGCTGTTCATCGCTCTAAATTTGACTGTTATTTACACCTTCTCATTACAACTTTATCTCTTGAATTCTACCCGTTATTGAACAACCTCCTATTAGTCTTTATTTTACATTTGGATGGCCACTAGTAATAAATCTTCATAAATTCTGTATCTTCTCTCTACTTTTTTTTCCAAATGTCCTCAGAATCCAATTATTATACATCCTAAACGCCTTTATTAAGTTTAAATACCTTATCCCCTTTCAACTCCCACCACTTAATATCATTGTCTCCTATGTCAGCCTCGGTATTTTATAAAATAAATGTGTGTTTTGATAACTGTTTATGCAAAAGTATTATTTATTACAGAATTTCAAACATTATCGGATTTTTTGGATGGATACACAGTGTTACAATTTGTACCACCAACTAGCATTCAAGCGAAGTACAAAGACGGAGGTGTTGCCATTATTGATCAAATAATCTGTTCTTACGCCAGGCATTTTATAGGAACTTACGAGAGTACATTTTCTTTTCGAATTCAAGAAGAGAGAGAAATTCTAGGCTTTAAAGTCGAGACTACTTTCAATGTCTTTTGTGGTGAGAAGGGTTGTCCTAAACCTTCAGTATGGGAAATTGTTTATTGAATTACATATGAATTTTAGAAAAGTAATAAATGAAAACGATCATTTTGATGATTTAAACTTAAATAGTTATTATAATTACTTTAAATTATAAAAAATTAATGTCTTATTTCGTTTATTTTATTAGTATGTTTTTGTGTATATATATTCTTAAACAATAAATAGCTATTAGGAACTATTTGTTTTTTTTATTTAGTAATACTTAACTAGAATGAAGATATATAATGCCTGGCATTCTATATGAACAGTTAAACAAACCCCCTTTTAACCCCCATTTTTTTTTAAATAAGGTTCGTCCCATTGTAAAACTTGATTTTTCCAGAAAATTTTAAGTTGATATTGTTTTTAGTTTATGATTTTTTAATCCCCCTTAACCAGTCCATTTTTAATCATTTTTTTTAAATGGGCTTCGTCATTGCAGAGCTTGGTTTTTTCTAAAAATATCCAGTTGATATTGTTTATGATTTATTTATTTTTAATTTAAGTTTCCCTTAATCCCCCATTTTTAATCATTTTTTTTTAAATCAATAGACTTCGTCCCATTGCAGAGCTTGATTTTCCTGAAAATTTCAAGCTGATATTTTTCGTTTTGGATTTATTAATTTTTTTTAAAGTTTAACCTCCTTTACCTCAGTTTTATTCAGATTTTTACTTTCCTATCTGTATACAGATATAAGGAAAGTATAGGAATCATGATTTTTTCGACCTCCGGTTTTCGACGGATTTTTACGTTTTGGTGTCCCCTGAATCCGTTTTGACTATTTTCGGGATGATGTCTGTGTGTGTGTGTGTGTCAGTCTGTGTGTGTGTCTGTATCCACCATAACTCATGAACCGATACAAAGAAGAACACCAAATTTGAAACTTAAGCTTTATTCCGACCTGCGGTGAACTGATTAGATTTTGGACAGGGTCGGAACATTTGGGGGGTACTTTACTGGTGGTCATTTTTATATTTTATAGAATATATTCGTTATTTACGTTTGGAGAAGAAAATTCTTCAAATAAAAGTTACTTAGAATATTATTATCTATAATTTTTGTTCTATATAAAATTTTCCTAAAATGGTCCGTATTCGAGAAATTTGACAAAATGTAAAAAAAACATTTTTTTATAAAAATTGTTCAAATAAAAGTTGTTTGTAATATAATTCTCTATAATTTTTATTCTATGCATAATTTCTCTAAAATGGACCGTATTCGAGATATTTGAGAAAATGTGTAAATTTCGAATAAAGGCAAAAACATTAAATTTTAAACTTAAGTTTTATTTCGGCCTGGGGTGAAATGATTAGATTTTGGACGAAGGCGGAACATCTGGGGGGGGGGGGTACTTTATGGGAGGCCGTTTTTATATTTTATGGAATATATATTATAGAAAAATGTGTCGAGTTAGATGTATGTGGAAAATGTCTAAACATTTATAGAGGTGCTGCAATAGGTTGTACAAAATAACCGGAAAAGGCCTATAATAACTAGATAGGAAAGTCATGTGTTGGACACATCAGATTTTTTTAAAAATAATTAAGTTTTGTTTCATTGTAGAGCTTGATTTTCCTGAAAATTTCAAGTTGATATTGTGTTTCGTTTTTATTTTACGATTTTTTCAAAATTAATAGGCTTCATACCCTTATAGAGATTGATTTTTCCTGAAAATCTTAAGTTTATATCATTTTTGGTTTTTGACTTATCGTGCGGACAAAAACGTGACATCGGACAGACGAACGGACATTTTTAAAAGTTGTTTTTAGATTTGATGAGAAGGATTTGGTACAAACATTTTTATATTTTGATGAATATTAAAAATTTTGGTTTCTTGAAAGTAAACCTATAATGCTCTTTAAAAGCTACTGTGTGAAGAGTATAATAAGGTATGTAAGGATTTGGTAGTATTTAAATCCATTAGAAATAAACAATTTATTAATAGTCTTCAAAAGAAAAGACATTAAACATATATTTATACATTTTTTGTTTCATATAAAATTTACATTATGTAAGAAACAGTAAGTACACAACAAAATCGAATTACTTCTATTATATCTATTATTCAATATTTACAAATTTATACTAAAACACTAGGATTTTTTTTGCATTTAAGAGAAATAACAGGTAAGTGTGTGTTTTCTTTGTAATTATGTATAATGGTTTAGTATTATTTTATTTCAATAGACTTCACACACTTACCATTATTCATACTGGCTATAATATATTTATCTAATTTTTCAATATATAATATCTTCGTTGCAACTTAGGCCACATGGGTTAACTTAAGAATGCAGTACAATGGGTTAATAAAAGGATTGATTTTTAAATAATAATTATACAAATTTAAATTCGCCTTCTTAGTAAAAAATAATTATTTTTTAAGTAACCCTGCCAGACTTTTAAAATTTAAAGTTTTGATACTTTTTTAACATTTTTAATATATTTAGGATTTTAATACATTGATTTAAAAAACTGATTAGACAAATTTTGTTAATGCATGATTAAAGAATCACCAGATGTTAAGTTCATTTTTATGGTTCACTTTGGATGGTCACTAGGAATGAATCTTCATAAATTCATTAAATGTTTCATTTAAACTTGTCCTTTCAAAAATAAATGTTTTTATGTGACTAACTGGGTAATTCGTTGTCAGTCTTAAGAGACGATTTTCGAAGATCAAGTTATGTTCCAAAAATCACTAAAGAATGTCGAATAGGCATATTACAATAACAATTTTACAGTTGTAGGTGGAAAACACTTAAACATTCATCAACGGCCCATCGAAAAATTCAAGTGAAAGGGAAGTTAATTACGAATTTCAAAAGGACCATAATGATTTTATTATTAAAAGTTACTTAAAAGGCCAAAACCTTGCCGCAACTTCAATGTTTGTTGGGTATCGTCAATCATGTTTCAACTTACAACCAAGTGCTGATACAGTTTAGAAACGAATGTTTATACTGTTCAGTGTGAAGTTTACTCCTACGATCAATAGACGAATAACAAAAATAGAATGTAGAACCGATGCTACTTTGTTCATTGTTCATCATAGAGGATCGCTTTCGATTTGGATGAGTATTGCTTCATATAGACGTCATCCAAAGTAAACCTTGTAAATAAAAAATAGTTATAATTCACTCTATCCTGTGATTTATTAATTTTAAATTCTGTTTTGAATATTAAGACATATTTTCTGTGCATTATAAGTAAATGTTACAAGCTGATATTATTTAGAAACAAAAATAATTTTTCGTTAAAATTAATGGACTTAAAATACTAGTTTGGTACCATATAATAAATAACACTTGTTTTAAGTTTAACTGCAGAAAGAAAACTTATATAAAATGCGATTGTAACATCATTAAAGACGACAGAATACAGACACATTGATCTAAAGCAAGTCATTCAAACATCAGTTAAAGAAGCTACTAGTTTACATTAGATAAACATACATACATTTACATCTTGTGCAGCTATAGTATTTTACATATATATTTTTTATTCAGTTTGAAATGCAATAGGAACTAAACAAAAAAAATCAGTTTGTAGTATTTACTTGCCATAGAAATACCTCTTAATATTTTATAATAAGTACCTGTTTTGCTTGTTAATACATATCTTAATAAACAACAGTAATATATATTTTCTGAAAGTCCTTTTTTTTTAAATAAAAAATTACATTTCCATATTATGTACTGCAAAAATTAGCGTTAATCTGAAATACAGGATCCAGCAACACTGCTTCATTACTTTACCTTTTTGTTGCTTTAATTTTATTTAGCTTGGTTGATGAAAAAGTACACATACTTATAAAAATGATTCGTACACCACTGTTATTTTCTGCTAATTTATCGTTTTTTGTATTCACAGTATTTATGTGATATTTTAGCCTTACGGTATGATTTTCAGTAATGTGTACTTATAATCATTTTTACAAATAAATACCTGGGTGGTATTGAAATACAGTTGCATATTAAAATAGATTAACCTTTATTCTAGTAAGAGGCTCAGAAATATTATTTAAAAAAAAATACATACAGAGTGGCTAAAATGTGTGGAATAATGAGTGAAATTTTAAAATATCGAAAATATTAAAAAATAATTTTATAAACGTTGTTTTGTAGTTAATTTTAAATTTTATGGTGACATTTTAAATTTAAAAGAGCTATTTTACTGTTCACAATTGAGTATTTTGTTATTGGGCCTGAATATTGGACCAACACACAATAGGAGCATTTTTTTATTGAGAGAAATGTAACTGCAGAATGATAATTGAACCTCCTCCAGATAGATATTGTTCCAGCAGTAAGGGCATTGTACCCTGGGGATAATAATGAAGTAGACCATTTAGTTGCAGCAAGAGGACGAGGACCAATCGAGTGACCTGCTAGGGCTCCAGACCTAACACCACTGTATTTTTATGGGATCATTTGAAGTCAGTGGTGTATAAAAATAGGCCGGACAATCATTAGGTTCTCAGAGAAAGAATATTTGACGAAATTTACAATGTTCAAGACGATTGGTTGCAAAATGTAAAATAAGAATTTGAAAATCGTTTAGGCAACTGTCTTGCCGTTAACGGTGAATATTTGGAACACTTACTTCAAGTACTTTAGGTAATGGTTTTAATGTTTTTATGCACCATTTTAAATAAAAATGTTTTTTTTAATTCTAGGCCATTTTGCTCAAAAATATCCTTATCTAACATACTGATTTTAATATAGCATTGTAATAAAATATCCTCTTTTAAATTCTGATTACAAAAAGGGGGTTACAATTTAAAAAAAAGTTAGTGCCCTTGGCTCCGTATTTTTTCCTTAGTTGGAAATGTCACCGTAAAATTTGAAATGAACTACAAATATTTTCGATATTTCAAAATTACATTTATTATTCCACACATTTGAGCCACTCTGCATAATTAAAGGACTGTAGATACAAAGTAGCAAATCTATTCTTATCATTCCTTTTTGGACATTATATCATCTTGTCATTTTTAATGTGTACATGCATT